AGAGGATGATATCGTCGATTCTGTTCACCTTTTTCGGCCGAATCGAAGGAACATATTTTTGAAAGAAAAAAGAATAGAATGAACGGACAACTGGCTGGGGCGGGCATGTTGTCTTAAGAATCGATCCTCGAGTAAGAAGAAAATGTCGAAAGAGAGAAGAAAGAGATGAGCAAAAAAGATTTATACGATAAACACAAGATCGTAGCGTCGGTAGTATCAAAATTCTTGCAATAACTTGCCTCCGTTTGGCACGTATCGCAAACAAAGATCGATCGATCGATCGATCGTATCGAGCGGCGGAGGCGCGTCGAGTATTTTCCAATTACATTTTCCGTTAACGATTTTCCCGCCTATACCATCTCGGCATAGCTCGCTCGGCAAAGCGCGCTACGCCGAAAGACCGTTCGTTTACTATACGGTATTTGTTCGTTAATATTAATTCATTCGAAGCCATAGGAAGGAGTGCTCACCGATTTCTTATTCGCCACTTAGGTTTCCCCAAATTACCCCGAAAGATCAACTTCTCCGGAAATATTAGTTACAAAAGAAGAGAAGATCGAAGAACGAGTTGTTTTTCGACGGTTGTCCATGACCCAGAAAATAACGAAAAGGATGACGGAAGAGAAAGGGAAATAAAAAAGAGTTCAAGCGGACCAGTAACTCGTGGATTTGCATTTTCCATTCGACTTGAAATTTAAATCTCCATCGCCACGTTAATGCTGACGCGATAGGTTCGTTCGACGGAGGGTGGAGCTAGGAAGTGTCGGATACACGTGCTCTTGCGGTGAGCTTTAAAAGGTCTCCTTTCCTTAACGTACTCTGATCACGTTCGCGGTTCTATGTGAAAAAGAGAGAGAGAGAGAGAGCTAGTTTGAAGAAAAAAGGAAAAGAAAATAACGCGGGCAACAGCTGCGGACACCAAGTTCGAAAGAGCGTGAAAGGACGCGCGTGCCCATCCGTGGCAAGACCATCGAGGAAGGAGAGACAAAAAGAATATCTGTGTGTCGACCATTGGCCGAGGAAAAAGGAAGTTTATGGAAGAATCGGGAGAGATATCGTCTGTCATTGGTCGAGCGAACTTTACGAAAGAAAGAGAGAGAGAAAAAGAGGAAAAGAAAAAATATCGAATACGAGTGGCGGGGGGGGGGGGCATTTGAACGCACGAACGCGCGTTAGATTCGTCGTCGGTAGAGCCGGTGGACTCGCTGGGGGTCTTCTCTTACGATTCACTGGGGGTCTTGGAAAAAGGGGAGAGAAAGAGAAAGGAATTCTTCTGTTTAACAGGGCGGACGTGACACCGGTCTGTCCGGTTCTTACTGTGGGAAGATACGTTGAAGATACGGGAAATCTACGATCGTACCTCTGAGGATTTTCAAGACCTGTCCCATCTCTCCTCTATTTCATTCCCCTTATCTTTTTTTTCTTTTACGTTATACTTTTTCTCTCTCGTTCTTTCTTTCTATCGTGGAATAATTTGAGGAAAGCGTCGTTGTTGAATTCTTTGCCGGAATATTGCTTCCGATTTCCGCTAAATTTACATATATTGTGCGTTTCCGCTTTTTCTTCGTTTATTTTTTCGAAATTTGTCTACTCGTTGTTAACTGCGAAAATGCCTTTTCAATTTATATTCGATGATGGAAGAAGATGCAAGCTCCTGGGAATATTTTTCCGACTATGGAAAATGCATTAGCGTAGTTTGGCGCTTTCACCTGGGAGTATTGTATCTAATGTGTTAATTAAATTGGAACGTATACCATAACTGTGCAACGACTGTTAGCGGTAAGCTCGTTACAGTTAAGAACACTCCGGTAGGATCTAACCGGCAGTTTGTAACTATCCGCGAGAGATTTCGAGGGAGATGTAGATGATTATTATTATTATTATTCCAATGATATTGCCTCAAAGTCCGATCCCGTTTTCTTTCTTTTTCATTTTTTGGAATATCACGAACGATATAATATTTATAAATTCGTTGAGAACTACGATTATATGGACAAAATTATACACAATATGTTTCTTTAATTAATTTTTATTTATTAATTAACGAACGAAAAGCTCAAATATAATCTGTAAATATGCAAAATAGAGAAAAATAACTAAGAGGCAAAGACGGGCAATCTAGTGTTTACTGAGTGGTAAATAGCTCTACACGTGCTAAATAATGAGAAAAGTAACAGATGCGAACGTTAGCAATTTTGCGACATATCTATCGTGTCGCATATAAGGATTCATAAGCAGTTCTGGTGAGGCTTCCACTACGACATAAACTTAGGATGGTACAAACGAGCCGCGCGACACACAAACGTTTCTCTTACCTCGTAAGTATGTGCTTGTGCGCGATATTCGACGATATTTTCAGACGAGAATCTCACGACTTCTCGTAATTCTTATTTGTTGCTGTCGTAATAGCACGTGTGTATAAAACGAGCATGCATCGACGTTATCTCTCTTTTTCTTGTGTCCATAATGATGATGCTACAATTATTCGTTTCTCCATATGTATGTATGTGTTGCATGTAAATGTGTGACTTTCAGAAATCGTATAATTTTAGTGAAATACGCACGCTATTTTCTGCTACAAGCGTTAAACGATTTCTCTTTCTATTTTTTTTTCAATTGTACACGTCACCTATTAAGTACTTAGCAACTCGCAAAAATATCATGCATAATCGTAATCATTATTTGAAATACATTTTTAGAATAGCACGCTTAAGATTATTCAAACTAATCGATTTACTAGGGATATTTTTTAAGTTCGATTATCGATCATTCTAAAGGCCTACTCGTCCTTGGTTTTCTAAATAATTAAGACGCAGGTTTCATTTTATTTTCACGTAGGTTTGCTTGAAAAGTATTTTGGCGAATAGACGCGACACTCTTTCCTTCCTTTCCTTCCCTTTCCTTTATCTTTCTTCTTTCCTTCATTACTTTTATCACTTTACTCTATCCTCAACGCATTCTCCTATCGATCAAGATCTCATGCATATTAATGGGAATTCGATCGATTTTAACCTGCCGGAGCTTTTTACTCTGTTTAGAGACATCGACGTTTCGACGCGTAAGCTCTTCTACCGGCCGCAATGGTTATTATGCCATTAACGTAATGAAGTTAGGTGCGGAGAACATCCGCCTAAAACGGATAGAGAGAGAGAGAAAGAGAGAGAGAGAGAGAGAGAGAGAGAGAGAGAGGCAGTTGGAAGTTGGAAGAAAGAGAAATAGAAAAATATAAGCTAATAAAAAAAGCGAAACGAGATACATGGGTGCGCTGAAAATTTTGGAGTCCACCACGCAACGGTGGGTTGAAAAGTCTTGAGTCTAGCACGGTGTGGAAAACCATAAAGCTCGAAACTTTTCAACCTACCCATATATATTATATATATATATATACATTTTTTCTATAATTTATTTGTCCATCTAAAACAAACTGGTAACGGTCGAATATTGAATCTTACTGCTTGCACGGTGATGGATTTCTACAACTGTGTAGAATTTATAAAACACCGGTTCCCCATTGATTTGGCTTTCCCATCGTAATAACGACCAATTGATGCTTTAATTAATGAAATCCACAAGACAGCGCCCATCGTCAGTAGGAGGTCTGTATGGAGAGCAAACAGTTTATCGCTAGAACATGGCATACTCAGTAACAATTAATGGATCGATACATTCGTCAAACCGTTGGAGTTGACTGACGCGTTTGATAAATTTCTTGTGTCAACAAGTCAGTATTACATAAGCATTATGCGACCGTCTTCGTCGTGTCAATATTTGGATAATTGGCCAATCGATCGAAAAAAGAACAGCTTTGTTGATATGTGATAATAAAAAAAGAAACGGTTCCTAAACGCAACCGTTAGGAAGATTTTCACGGAAGAGTAGTACACGCGCGTTTTCAAAAAATACGTTTCCTCGTAGTTCTTCTCAACGGCTTTCGCCATCTTCAATTAATTTACTAAATTTTTACCCTACTCAAATCGGTACCGATCTGTAATGCTGGAACTGTAGTGCTGGAACTGCAGTACTGGAACTGCAGTACTGGAACTGCAACTCGAGTCGAGGTCGGATAGGCATTCATTACTCTTCCTACGTACTTTTGGTAAGTTTTTCCATCGATTTGCCAACAACTGCAGTTGCATAAAAATCGAACAAGATGTTCTATCTTTCTCTCTCTCTTTCTCTCTGTTCCTACTAAAATCAAATATAATGGTTTTAAATGTATTTCAAGAATTTTTTCATTTGTCAAGTAAAAGTCTGGAAAGAGCGGCGGTAAACGTCGCGAGATACCGAAGTGAAAGGAAAAAGAAAAGTGAATATCAATTAGCGAATCGTACGATTTTATTTAATAGCTCGAGGGATGAAGAAATAAAGATAGAAAGAGAAATAAAAAAACAGAAGGATCAGGGAGCCGAGATAGAAGAAGAAAGCAGAGTAGTCGTCGCCCAATCTGACGGCATACTTTAATCTCTATTCACGAATACTACGTTAATAGAATTTGTGGTGAATCATATATTATAATATCCGATGGTTTGCCGTTTTAATGTAGATCTGACCAGGCCGTTCGATGAAAGTAGTCAATGTTCATGTTTATAATATCATGAAATCAAAATAAGAGAGAAAATTTGTCAAGTGTAATTCTCGTAAATCAAAGTAGAAATTGAAATGGAGATAGTGGTAAATATGTGTCGAATTGAGAGGGATTGACAGATGAATAGAGAAGTAATAGAGGAAGATTTGAGCAGGGCGTAGCCCAACAGTTTGTCCTGTGTTCAATCTTTGTTGAAGAATGTAAAATACAATATATGTACAATATATGTTCGTGAGATGAATCACGCGTTGAAGAGCCTTTATCGTTGCTGCTCTATGCGATATAATTTAAATTCCTCATTGAAAGCTTGTACGTTAAATGATAGGAATCATAGAATGGCTTTTGTTATTTTTGACGAATTTTATTTTCCTTTTCATTGACTGTTCTACATATAAGAAATAATGAGCAAACTCACCTGCGAGTGGTTCCAAGCTTTCGGCTTCGGGCTGGATCGCGCGTTATTAGGCGTGCTCGAACTTCCGGAATTACTCGAGAGATTGCTGAGCGATGCGTTTGATTTGACAGACGGCTTTTGACTTTTCTGCATTTGCGTGGTGCTTGGTGCACTTGCCGAGCCGTTTCTCTGTTGTTGCTGTTGCTGTTGCTGCTGCACGGACGTCTGTTGTTGTTGTTGTTGCTGTTGTTGCTGCTGCGTCTGTTGCATAATTTGCTGAATAAGCTCGAGCTGTTGTTTCGTGAGGCCATCGTTGCTGGCACCCGGAGACGACGCACTCTGTGAACAATAAAACAAAATATTTGGATGAATTTTGAATAAGCTTATATGCGTTAGGTGCCGAGATCAAAAACGTGCCGTGGAAGATTCGGTCTGCGTAAAAAATTAACGCGTTCTAATGGTATTTTCAATTTTTTCGTTGGAAAAATTTCGAAATGGAGAAAGAGCATGCAGGGTAACTGTGCGTGCGTTACCGTCTATTACTCTCTCCCTACGTACGTCTCGTCGTAACACTATGCGTTCCACGAAGCGCGTTTCACGCGTGATCGCATGCATTAAATGCTCCGTCGAGTATCGATTGTTTCTTCCCAGTTAGTGTGTAGTACGATTCACAGAGGACAAAAAAAACATCCACTTTCGTCTGTTTTCACGTATACAGGGTGTCCCTAGTAATGAGGTCTGATTATATTTTTGTTCCTTTTAGCAGAAGTGCATCAGAGTACAGTTGCAAAGGGTGCCGCCAATTCAAACGGATCTCTATGTTAACGAAATTAATATATCGTTTACTAACAATAAGAGTGATAGAGCTATACGTATACTTAAAGTTTCAACGAATTTTCGTGTCATTTCATGACTGTTTATTTCATGTCTTTTCAATTTTCATGTTTTTTTTATTTTGTTTGATAACCTTGCCAACTTTTCAACCAACTACTTGGTGACGGAGGAAAGCTTATTAAACGATGCAAGATTTTCTTTTACAATTTTTTTTATCTGCAAAAAAGCAAGCTTCCGGCCTAGTTACTAAGGACACCCGGTATACAGACAGCTTTTTTCGCCTATTGTACAGATGTGTACGTACACACGTACGTAAAAAAACACAATACTACATCGTTACTCGCTTTTGGTTTTAGAATTAAGCGAATTTGGTGGAAATGCAAACTCCCGCCTTTATTCGAGCAAATCGAAGCGTTATTAGGAATTTTTCATTGTAACCAGAGGGTGGCCATCGATGGTTCGAACATTTTGGAAAACCTCTTTTAAAGTAATATAATCAGCTTGGATAATCTATCAATAGGAAAATGGCATTTTTGATAGTGAAAAATATAATAACGATAAGGAATGGTCGTCTGTCTCTTGCTAGGTGGCATAATGATTGCGCGTTACCAAGGGATGATCCTGAGTATTCCGCGTAACAGCAGGGATTGAGCTGTCGATTAAAATTGGATTTGTTAATTACTGCTGGGAACGCGCGGTGGCCAGTGGCTACTATGCCTGATCCGGTTCATACCTTATTAAACCTTCATTTTGTAATTCCCACGTTGCCATTTGTCATCGTCGTAATCAGTGGCTACTTGTTTCCTGGACGCGCCGCCACTACTCATCCGTTTCCCCGTCGGCCGTTATTTGCTATTCCCTTTCCTTCTCACTAATCTCTCATTCTACCTCTCTTTTCGTAGTTAACTTTTCAATCTTCGTTTAAAAGAATTTCACTGAAATTCGAATGATTAACGACAATTTATGCGAGTCGCTCATAAAATGGGTTAACTTCTTATTCGTTGGAATAAGAAATATTATATATATACGTATATGCCTTTTTTATGTTTGGAATATTCAAATTGATCCGTAATTCGTGAAGTTATTTTCAACCGTTAATTCGAGGATTTGAACGTACGATTCGTAAACTCTCAAAAAGATCGTACGCTTGTCAAAGAAACGACAATGTGTTCAATCTTTTATTACTCTTCTTACCGCTTTCGAGAACGAGTAACTGTTCGTGTGTCTCGTGTTATCTTTCAGGAAAGATACGTGTCTCTGACAAATCGTCATTTCTAGGAACGAAGTATTATAGAAATGCCGGGAACACTTTCCATCTTTTTTATCTTTTTTATCTCGTTCCCCCACCCTTTCCCCTTCCCCTTCCCCTTGCCATGGCCCACCGTCTTTCGTTTTTCATCTCTGTCCGCATGAAGTCTAGGGGTAAGCATTCGCGTCTCTCCACTCATCTTTCCGTCCTACACGCGAGAATCGCATTATTTTTCAACTAGGAATCTCCTCTCACCTCGTATGTTCTCTCATCCATCATCTCAGACTTTGGAGCCCTCTGGTCTTCTTTCCTTCTCTTCTCACACCCACTTCTCCTTCGACCTAGTTTTCTTACCCGTCGAGCTTTTCATACGAAGCGTGCACTGGCGGTACTTATTGTAACGTAAGCACACCCAAAGAGAGCGTACACTTTTCTTTGACACAAATATTTTCTTTTCCGTTTTAACTTGCCTACTGGCAGCTCTAACTTTTTTTCATATAAATTTCCTTCCTCATTAATAGCGCCCTCGCTATTTATCTTCCTTTTTTTTATACGCACGAGTCCTTTACCTCTTTTCGCCGAAATAACTAAATAACTTCTTTCTCCTAGTATTATATTTGATTGTGTACTTATTGCTCTCCCTTTTACAGATTTTGAGCAACTTTTCTACCAAATCTTCTCATGCATAGACCACTTTTCCAAAGAGGTCTTCTTTTTATCGCCTTTCTGGAGCCAACGTCGTTGCTTGACTTTAGTTTTTTCAACGTGGCTAGGCCGTTGAGTTCCTAGTATTTTATACATATATGTTAACGTTACTTTGCGAAATCTGTTAATTCGTCAAATGACTAATTAAACTCTCAAATAACTATACTGACCTGTTTAAATATGAAAGAAGGCAGAATTACGTACTTTAATTTGGTAATATATGAATTTGCAAGAGGCGAGTAGTTAACGTATGAAATTGAGATTTGATCCGTAGATTAAATCTTATAGAGTATTGCTTTCTAAAGTACAAGGAAAGATAAGAACAAATTGTTGTAGAAAGAAAAGAGGAGATTTTGAAGACGGATTAAATATCAATCTCTTATTTTGGAATTGTAAAATTTAGGGTTTCCACGCTTATCTAATTGCATTATTTAACGCTACACATACACGTATGCACATAAATGTGTATCATCATATGCATTCATTTGCATCGGAACAAAACACGCACGCGTATACACGAAAGAAATTCAATACTTATCGTTATTACTTTTCCGACGCTCGAATAAGCCTAACGATAAATACGAGAAAAGTTACAAACATTAATGTGTTTACAAGTTCGATAAAGAAATGTTTAAAAGAATAAAAACAGTAGTAATCGAATGTTTTCATCGCCCGAGGGGTAACGTATGTATAAACAAAACATTTACCGATCGAGAAACCATTGTTTTGATGAACTTAATCTTTACCTACCCCTTCCCTTTTCAGTTGTCATTATTCTCTGCTTCCGACTAAATGTGTTTGGACGTGTTCCTATTACAGGTATTATCCATTTATATTATACATATTTTTACCTAATACAATGTTTTATATCCTCTTTTTTAACGATGCTCTCTCTAATCAATCAATTTTTTTATCGAACTTTTTGTTTATGTTAAATAAATTTCTTTGTTTTGTTCCAGAAAGAATTCGACAAAATCTAAAATGCTTACGTTTTAATGAAACATTGGTATTTATTTGTTAATGTTTACTGATGTTAACGCGGTTTTATTTTAGTTTCCTCAATTCGCAACGATATTTACGCGTATATCCGGTACTCGTATGCAATTAGTATTCAGTAATTTATTTAAGTAAATGCTTTTAGTTACGATAAAATTACTTTTTAAAATGTATGCTATATCAGATTCATTTAGTTAATCGAATAAAATAATTTGATCTTATTGTTAGAGCTAATTAAAATAATTTCTATAAATTACCCACTGCGCAATGTGCATTAATCTATACGTAGTATAGATAATGTATAGTAACGATATACTTTAGTTTATTAAATATTGTGCAAATTGTATTTAAATATATAAAATTTCGTAATTTTTTATTTAAAAGTAAAAATATTTTATTGATAGGAAAAAAAGGAAAATTATTAAGAAATTCAACGGAATGACATAAATGCAAAATAATGATTATAACAGTAGTCGCTCTCTTCCTCTATCTATTTATCTATTAATCTATTTATCTATCTCGTTTACTTCTTAAATATTGTCGAAAAGCGTAGGTCGATAAAAATGTCAAGTTTCTTGGAAAAGGGGAAACAAAGTTTTCGGAAAGTACCTTTGACGTTTTTGTCCCCTTCGCTTCTTTTCCTATTCAAAGAAAAGAAGGAGATCATAAATTTTCTTCTTTTTATCGATTACTTGCGCTTGCACACGGGTGAGAAAAAACGTTCTCATTTGATAGCCTCGGCCAGGCTGACGGAAAAAAATTTGCGACTAGTGCTTCGGAAAATCTGGCCAAAGAAACAAATAAAAAGGAAAAAGGCTCGCGCGTAGTAAGCATCACATTTTCAAATAAAGAACAAATATATTTCAAAGACATGCTAAGGCATGTCAATTTTTCAAATCTAATTGCAATATCATCGAATTGCAATATCAATTCTCAATCGAAACTGATTCGTTAGGATTAATTTTCAATATACACGAGATGTTTACGCTTCTTTTTCTATAATTATCTTTTGCTACTTATTGTTAGTTAAAATCTTATACTAGAATTATACCGAATATTTAGACTTTTAAACAATTGTTCTATTCTAATTTTTTGTCCATGTTGTATGTCAAATAACTTGCGAATTATTTAAGATTTGAAAAGAATATAGATGGTTTGGTAGAGTTTAGGTCCAGTTGCAAAACCGGTCGATCAAAACTTTCGTAGTTCGCGGATTTTACGGATCACTACTATTCACAAGGACTTTCAGTTACGACTTTGGTTCGGCTATATACGAAGGAAAACTTTACAAACTGTGAAAAAAGATCGTTAACTAGTTTTTAAATCGGTTGTTAACATCGACAAAAATATATCCTATTGAGTGTAGACTTGTGGTAGAAAGTTCTTTCGAATTGATTCGTTTTATAATAATATATGTAATATTTAATTTGTAATTGCAAATATATATATACCCGCGTTTCTAGTCGTTGCACCCAATTACAATATGAATAATTGATTTTTTTCTAAGGGCCGATTATTGAAAATACTACAAATTGATAAAATACGAATACAGCAG